CTATTTAGTCTAAACATTTATGTTTTCGTGTTTATTCTAGAATGAAAGAGGCATAATTTGTGTTTATTTCCTAATTTTTTATGGTGGTTGCGAGATCAGTCAAATTTACCAAACCCGTACAAAGATTAATTACTGAAAATAACATATAAAATATAAAGTTTTTTCTTAAGAAACGTTTGATAACTATCCAGACATTATAAAGATTTTGCTTGGGAAATTTCAAAATTTTCTGATGCATAAAAGTAATCTTAATATTAAAATGAAAATTACTTTGTGTGATAGATACACAAAATGTGAAAAGAAAAAAAGGCATGAGAGAAACATTGTTTTACAAACCTTAAGACTTAATAAAAAAATTAGATATTTTGCATATGAAAGCACTGTAATTTTTTCTGATAAACTGTCAAATTTTGTTAATATTTGCTTACTAATTTAAAAGTTATAGCATGAAAATTATAACAAGCACAAAGTGGTTACGAGGTTGGTCCTAAGGACCGAGTCTGGGTTGAAAGTTAATATAGTTTAACAAAGTATATTTGTTCACTGTATTCTTTAGCTAACAGATTTTGAAACGTTTATGTTACAAAAGACAACAGAGCAACATACAGTGGTCAACTTACTCAATTTGTTTGAGTGTGTTATACTAATTTACGTTGCTATGTAATATCACTATAACAATTTGACAGATAGTTATGACCTGATCTACAAATCAGTTTTAACAAACTGATGTTATCACAAGTAAAATGTTTTATAATCTTAACAAGCTAATAGACATATATTAACTTGTGTGTGTGTATATAAAAATATGTATGTTGTGTTCTTGTAAGTAGGTCTATAATTGTTTGAAATCAATTATATATTCACTTTAAGTTGTAAGGACATGCTATCTGATTTTCAATACTTACTACCTTTGTTAACTTAAATGTGAATTTGAAAGAATATTATGTTCATGTTTACATTAAATATATATTCATAATCATAATGCATAACAATTTTATGCACTACTTGTTTGAATATAAGTTTAAAAAAATTGTTTTTCTGTTTATTATATTTATTGTAAATTTTATAACTATTGTAACACTAAAATAATAATGGCTATGTTCCAAACCTACCTATTTACACAGGGCTAACATTTATTCAAACATAAAAAATATCAGCACTATAATAATTGCAACTGTAAGTTATCATTCTTATATAAAAATACTAAATGTTATATCAAAACTTACCTGTACCAAGAAGGGAACTCCAGCACTACGACGTGTTGAACACAACTGTAAATTAGCACTCTCTCCTCTGATGTCAGATAAAAGCTCTTGTAACCATTTTTCTGGTAATTTTTGAAGAACACTGACAGGCATTCTAGAAAGGAATACACTTTACATAAATATTTGTATAAATAAAAAATAAGAAATTTTCTAAACATAGTTAATAGTTTAGTTTCTACCTGCAGTGTTTCTTTAAAAAAAACTGAGAGTGACCACAAGCCATCTGTTTGAAAATAATCACAAAAAAATGTGAATAGATTATATGAATGATAATATAAATGTTTGTGGTACACATGTATCACATAAGTTGTATTTGATAACTATTTAAGAACACATTTTTAAATTTTGCTAGTAAAAAAATTTGAATTTAAACTAAACAGAGGTTAATAATCAATTCAAATTAGCTATAGCATGTTACTTATCAGAAGTCTTTCCAGAAGTCTTATCAGAAGTCTTGTTATGAAACATATAACAAAAGTAAAGATTATGTATTCCTTGTTATTCTACTTACTGAGAGAAGAGTATAACTTACTAGAATATATTATATGGGACAGCAATTATTACTACCAGCAACCTGTTACACCTTACAAAACCCCCCAGAAACACAATTCTTAATTATAAAAGGGTTTCAACAATAATGAACTGAGAAACTTCTTTCCACAGATCTTGAATGTTTTAGTTCTCCTTACATTAACATAACCTCTCAACATGTCATTACTAGAAACCTTAAGAATGTTCAAAATGAAGATTTAAGGATTTTGATGAGTAAAAGATTTAAATTTTGAGAATACTGGTAAATTAACTGGGTACAAACTAAAAATATTTTGAGGAAATCACTTAAATGCCTAATATGACATTGAAATACAAAGTATAAAATAAATCCTAATCAATTTTCATAATGATTCGAATGGGTAGAAGAATTAAATCGAGAACAGAATCTGTTTTTTGAAAACAGTTTCATCTGATACTTCCATATAAATACTTCATCAAAAATATCAAAGAGAATTTTTAAAATCTTTACATAAAAAATATGTCATAACAAGAGAACATAAAACAGCCAATATGATTGTTTTAATTTGCAAACCATTCTATATTTAGTACACTTTGTAAGGAACACTTCAGATAATTATGTTAAAGTTAATGTCAATGTCAATATCAAATAATGTAACAGAATTTACATTTTATACAAATATTAACAACAATGTAATTCCCATTTATTCTATAAATATAGATTCATCACTGGAGCCAGAACATCCACTACAAGAAATATTGTCAGTTTGTAAAAGGTAAAGATCTTAAGCATATTTTACACAACCTCATAACCATGGTGGCATACATACTATGACTCTTAATATACTTAATGTACGTTCACAAAATTTAACAAACTTTCGATAAGTATTAAATCTTTAATAGAAAAAATCTGAATTTTTAATTAAATATTTTTACTAAAATTTGTTCATAATTATGTGAAATTGTTGACTGCTCTGAATGCAAGATTTTCATGCTAAGATTAAAAATACTTTCCTTCTGAAAACTTTCAAATTTCAATCGCATAATTCCTAAAACCTTCTTAATAACCATCAGAGGTCTTTTTTTCAGAAAAACTTTATATTTCATCTGTTATTTTCTATATTATAACTCTGTATCTGGTTGGTTGATTTGATCTATCCCATAACCACCATAAAAAAACAACAACAAGGAAATAACTAAAAGCTTGTAACAGTATACATCTATTTATACTTAATTTTATTGTTTTATTGCCTTTTGAACCATATCTAACTAATAATCCTGCCAAACAAGTTGTAAATCACTTGGCAAAGGTGTAGCTCACATTACTCTATTGAATTATATAACATACAAGCTACTTGCAAAATGCCCGTGAGCATACCTCATGAAGAATTATTATTATTATTTATCTTACCTAATCTGATCTAACAAGTTTTTGATTTTTATATTTTTGTTACTTTTATAATAATGATTAAAAAATACACATGAAAAACAAGAAATAAAGTACTTACCTGGGTCTTCTTTTTCTTTGCTGTCAACTGACAATGAAACTTAGGTATACTTTGTTACTAATGGTACTACCACATTAAATAATATTTTTATTCAATTAAATACTGCACCTGAGAACCCAAAATAATAATGTTCTGAAAAGTAGACAATGTCCTATAACTATTATAATTTTTCTAGCTTTCTAACTATGCAATAAGACCCATTAAAAATTCAGCTAAGCTCATCAATGTGTTTCTCGTGTGAATAGTTTTAATTAGAGGAAAAATAGACAATTCTCTGTACAGAAAACAATTTAGTACATCACTTGATAGATTACAAATTTGGCTTTCCATTAGTTATATATAATAGAATAAAACATTAGAGAAAACCATTGGCAATTTGTACAAGAGAGAGGATGTGAAGGTGGGTGTGGCAAGTGGGTCTGATTTTCTAGTTTATGTCTCCCTAAACAAATAAGATTGAAAGCTATAAAAATTATGTTTTGCCCAAGTAATATCTATATTATAATAAGTAATTTATGTTAAATTCTGCATTCCTCAGAGGGATGGTAAATAAACTAAAGAAGAGAGATGAATTAGACAGCAAATGTCACAAGTTCTCATACTAGGGGAGATTGAGGATTTTTAAAAATATTTTCTTATAAAATTAAGAACTTAAAACTTAAATAATATTAAAATTTGATTTATTAACTAGTTTTGATGTCAAGTTTATTTGTATACATTGATAATAAAGTTGTTTAATTAAATTTTGAATGTATCTCTGTAAAAGGTTGTGACATGCACACTTTGACCTACGTGTTGATAAACAGTTAATAACAATTCCTAAGATGAAAAGAAATAATGAAATCACAAACATATGCTTACCATATTGAACTGCATCTTGGTTCCTGATATAACTGTTTCATTTAAATCTCTTAAAATTCCAAGTTTTCAGGCTAATTAATTATTTGATTATTATTTTAACAATACTAACATAATTCATGAAACTAAGAAATACTACTGTTATTTGATAAAAGTTACCTCCACAACCGATGGCAAAGTTTCCAAAAGCCAACATATGCTTGCTCAAATGCTCCTCTGTGCTTAACTTCAGACAGCTGTTCAGTGAAGAAGATACCAATTTCTATAATCTAGGGTAGGAATTTTAACCCAGATTAACACTCAATATTAAGAGAAGTTTAATAAACCACTCTAAGTACCTTAGACAAATATCTCAAGTTCAAATATAGAAGGTTCAGTATATTATACTAAAACTATTTTGAATACACAAATCAGCAATTCATGTGAGAACCACAGCCAATATAAAGTTGTGGTAGAATGGCATTCATCAATGTTTGACATTGTTTAATGTTTCACTGATAGTGTGATGTCAATGAAAAGTGATCATTTTTTAGGGAAAGGTATGTAACAGCCCTTTTTGATACAAAATATTCATACATTTGAATCATAAAAATGTGTTAAAATTGGGAATTTAGAATTTCCAAGAGTAGGATATTCCTTGTACTTAATGGAATTGGAAGACAAAGAAAATGGGTCAACCTTGGGCACCAGGTCCAGGGATTATGGAAAGCATGCAGCAGAGGAGTGGTGTATTTCAGACATGACAGCATTACAATGGAGTATTTTATTATGAAATTTATGTTGAAGGACTAATGTCAAGATGCATTTTCATCACACAGAATATGACCAAACAATGCAAAATGGACTATAGTGACAATATGAGGTTTTATACTCAACTTCCATATTCTGATAATATGATTCTTAGGTATTTTTAAGCATTGTTTCAAACACCTACTTTATTCTTATGTATATTTAAATCATATTCTAATTGCTTGCTCTTTAAAATCGTTTTACTTATTCTTCAACATTACATACTCTTAAATACAACCACTCTTTAATCATTTATTGTCTTTAAAGCTTAATTAACTACAATAAAAAATTAAATCATCCTGTACACATTTGATCTAATTCAAGGCATATTTAATACAAGTATAATAACCTAAGCAAACAAATATTTTATAATCCTTTATTACCGTGTACCATATATTACCTCTTTCCAATCATAATCAGTCTGATTAGTAAAATCAAATTAAAACATTTTCAATTGAGTTCATTACACTTAAAACGGCTACAATTTTATAGCAAAATATAATTATTCAAAATGATTTTACAATTCATGTTCTTCATTTTTTATCTTAATCAGTTAGATTTTGGTACATCACATATAATGGCAAAACATAAGTGTAAACATTTATCAACATAAAAAATATAAATTGGTATTGTATCTATTACAATTATCTACTACAGAGATGAAAACCAGAGTAACCAATGAATTTTACAATGTCTTATAACAGTGGTTTTCTTTAAGGAAAACAAAAAGTGTTATAATGTTTAGGATCAGTGTAATCAGAAGGAAAATAGAAAACAGTTGCAGGATAAAAGTATCTTTACCAAAAACTCATTAGGTAATTGCCTAGGATGGGAAAATAGAGAATACATGCAAAATTAAAGAAATTTAACCAATGAATTCATTTTCCAAGGTCATTTGCTTTAATATTTCATTTCTTGTTTATCATGTTAGTTGCAGGTAGTGATTGGAAGAGAGGGGACAGAGTTTATCTTCTTTTACAATACAGATTACTTATTTTTTTATGAGATGAACAGGGCAAAAATATTTCAAAAACATGTAATTGGGTGTGCATAGAAAACAAGAACACATGTGAGTAAAAGAAGCATGAACTAGGCAGAAAACAATTTATTTTTCAGGAAGCAAACAGAAGAAAAATATTCTTATAAAATCATCTTATAGTTTAAAAAATTGTAAACATAGTAGGATACCTAAAATAATTATAATCATTAAAACAGTGATAATTCAATATAAACATGACTGATGGAAGCCACCAACTTTCAGACACTTACTAACAGAAAAGGAAAGGAAACAAATATATTAAAAATCCAAAATGACACTCTTTAAAGTTTTTGTAATGCAACATAATGATAGAAAGTAAAGAGGTTATGATTAGAATTAATCAAGAAAGTACTACTACTAAAACTAGTGAGGCTTTCTGTCTTAGGAATGAAAAAACAGCTTCTCACAATGAAAATAATTCTACAGAAAAAAGCAAACAGATAGCAAATATGTGTGCATTTAGTTTAGGTTATTAAACTAAATGGTCAAAAAATGATTCAAACATTCAAAAGTTGTTGATCAAAATTAGAAAAGTAGCCAGCAGACATTAAACATTTCCAAAGAGAAGGACAATCACAGCAAGTTATTAGAGATGTCACTAAGGAAGGAAAATCACAGCAAGTTATTACTTGTCAATAGAGAAGGAAAATCGCAGCAAGTTAGTACAGATGTCACTAAGGAAAGAAAATCACAGCAATTTATTAGAGATGTCACTAAGTAAGGAAAATCACAGCAAGTTATTAGAGATGTCACTAAGTAAGGAAAATCACAGCAAGTTATTACGTGTCAATAGAGAAGGAAAATCGCAGCAAGTTAATACAGATGTCAACAGAAAGGACAATCACAGCAAGTTATTAGAGATGTCACTAAGGAAAAAAATTGCAGCAAGTTATTATGTGTCAATAGAGAAGGAAATTCACAGCAAGTTAATACAGATGTCAACAGAAAGGACAATCACAGAAGTTTACGTATGTCAGTAGAGAGAGAAAATCACAATAAGTTATTACAAATGTCAGCAGAGAAGAAAATTCACAGCAAGCTATTACATACATCAATAGAGAAAATGTACTAAGACAGTGCTTTTAATACTCTTTCATGTACAGTTCAGTGTTTTGCTTCTGTTCAAGATTTTCAGCATAGCTAACTTTTAAGATAAGAGTTTACATGATTCAAAATATTGCTCTCCTGGAAGTTATGGGAACCTCTTCACTCCCAGAGCAGGAAATTCCCTGAAGTTTGTTGAATGTTTGCACATGCTTGATCTTATCAAAAATTAATATCTTAGAAAGGACATCCAGAATGAGTTGAATTGCTGTCAAACAAGATCCAGCAGACACATGTTGACTGCTGCTAAAAATGTCATGTATTACTTGATTGTGCTTGACTGGACTCCAGACATAAACCACACACAAAAAAAGTCATTTGTATTCTTTAAGGCTGATGAGGCTTCTGCAACTGAAGATTGGAAGATCAGTATCAATGAATATTTCCTCAGATTTGTGCCATTAAAAGACATGAGTATCAATGGTATACTTGAAGATTTACAAGGTCTAGAGTAAAAAAAAAAAACCAAGATGAGAAGAAAACAATGTTCTTCAAAGATTATTTAAGAAACTTAAATTCATAAGCTTTTCTCTGCATGTTCTGAAACATACACACTCTTAAGTTTCATGTTAAAGAAAGTAGCCAACTGATGCAGTGGCGTTCTTTCAATTGCTTCAAAGCATATATATATACACACACATTATAATTTTTCTATACTGAAAATGTATTTCCGATAGGTACTTCCCTCCTCTCACAAGATTAGCTATTCTCATCCAATGCTGCCCTCTATATGCAAATTTTTTCTTTACGCATGCCACAAGCCTCCTGCTTCCTTCTATTGGAATTGAGTGATTCTAACATGTCTCTCATGTAAATCATACTGGGTCACTTTTCCACCAATAGGAGCATGCATGACATACATGACTTCTTCTATATGTCTCTACTGAACTATCACTTCAAGGTTTGGCAAAAGATGTAAGCACCGGAGGAAAGTGGGGAGGAAGGGTGGGAAGTGTGAGTGGAGGGAAGTACCTATCGGAAATACATTTTCAGCATAGGAAAATTATAACTTCTGATACAGTACTTCCCTTCACTCACAAGATTAGCTAGAATCCCACATTAATTAGGTGGCAGGACTGGTGCGAAAGAATGACAGAAGTACCCCCCAAAAGCATCCAAAGGATACCCATGGAAATGATAGAGTCAGATCGGAAGATCTGATTAGGGGAACAACACCACTTCTGAACCAGGTATATTCTTCACCCATCTGTGAAATGTGTAGTAGATAAGAGTGGAAAAAGAGAGAAGCATATCTGAGTGGGAGAGAACTGTGGCACGATAGTGATCCTAACCATGAAATATATAAGTAACTCAATCCCACAAAATATAAAAGTGGGTCAAACAATGGATGTGCCCCTAAGTGTAGAGTAGCTAGGGCATGCCGGACTGTACTCAGTAAGTCAACTGCATTCAAAATCCATGCCACTGGGAACTGACATCCATGCAGGGATAGGGTGAGAGGATCATACCATCTTCACCTCAAGTTCAAGAGACCAGGGGGGATATAGAAGGAAAAGGTGGGGTGTTGAATCTGATGAGAAGACACCTGGGACAAATTCTGGGAGGAAGAACACAAGGAGTAAGAAGCCAATCAAAATGTGATCTCAACTGGTGAGGGGTAGAAGGGAAAAAATCCCAAACAGAGGAAGATTGCAAAGGGATAAGAGCCGGGAATGGGTACCAAAGAAGGAAGCCATGCAGGCAATATAACAACGAAGAATACGGACCAGACATAGAAGTCTATTCGGATCAGGAAGAGGGTAGAGATGAGAAATATAAGGAAGGGAAAAGTTGAAAAGGAGTAGTTACCCTCCCTAGCCACCATGGTCTTTGGGAGGAAGGAACTATGTGGATAAAGTAGAAAGGGAAGTAAAGTGTACAAGAAATGTCCATGGCAAACGAATCAGACCTTTGACGTCCACAGGCTAAGAGGAGAAGAAAATAGATTGTATGGGAAAGTTGAAGAAAGGAACACAAGGAAGGTGGTTCAAATGGAGGTAAAGTGAGGGAATGGACGACCACCTTAGTATTCCAGTCTGAAAAGTAGGTTATCTAAAGAAGCAACTAATCTGGTAGGAACACATGAACATGGTAAGAACAGAGGAAGCAAAAGCACAATGGTATCAGGAAAACTAAAGGCATGGGATAAGGTACCCGAGAGTGAGAAGACCAAAGACCCTGGTCGAAAAGCCATGTGAGAAACCCTGCCAGTGGGAATCCCAGAATCGCAGACCAACTGAGAAACACTTTCCATAGGTGTTAATACACCTCCACTGAAGAAGGAGATATGGAATGATCTAAAAAGAAAGCTATTTGATGGGAGAAAACTTGACATCTTCCCCAAGATTGGGAAAGGCTGGATGTAAAACTGGTGACCGAGGTTGACGAAGAAGGGATGGAGACAAAGAAAGACGTACCAGAGGGAAAAGTTGCAGTTGTTGGAACCACGGAACCATGATGGAGCTAGCCAATAAAGAGCAATCAGAAGGAATTGATAAGGAGAGGTATGGAGGAGAGAGAGATTATGAGAAAATTGAAAGACCACTCCGTCAGATATAAAAGGTCGAGGCGGGAAAGGCTATCCTCTACAAGATGGAAAGTACTTCGACTAGGTGCCCCCTTTTGATTCCATGTCTACTGTACTTATCAATTTTAATGGCATCATCATAGGGATATCTAGCTTAAGAAAATAATGTAGACACTATTTTCAGCTGAGTTTCTTTACTTTTTTAGAGTCCTTAGTTGTAGGCTTGAAAATATAGTCTTTGTATTTTGATTCAACTTGTTTCTGTACTTTTTTGATGATCCCTATTCCCCTTTTTAAATTAACAATTTTTCATAATCTTGTTTCTTAAGCTTCATCATGTCCTTTTATGGAGAATACATTTTAAGCTACACATGTGCATATGCATTCAGTTGAATGTTAGATGTTTTTCAAAAGTTTACTGCTGCATTGACTTTTTTTCTACCCAACCATTATTTACCGAGTCAGGTGGTTTTGAGCCGAACACACATTTAACAAGTGTGGAGTACAAAGGAAGCTCCTCACAACACAATTGAATATAATATTTTTTAATAGCCACATAAATCAACTTTTTTAAATAGGTCATGGACATTTGCAGTGTTTCATATAGTATATATGTTTAGGTTTTGGTGCAATATACCCAGCCAATTTTGCTATAGGCAAAGTAAATATAAGAATCTTAATCATTTTTAAAGGCCTTATATTTTGCTCGAGCACATTTTAAATTGTGGAAAGCGAATATATAAGTCCTGTTAGTATTTTGACAAACATCACTACTTTTACAAGTACAGAAGTTTTGTTGTTAAGCGCAAAGCTATTTAATGGGCTATCTATGATGTGCAAACAATGGGGGTGATGGGCAGAGAAAAATACACCTCCTCATGGAACAATAAAAGTGAGCCTAAATATATAATAGTGTATAGAACTGTTTGTTTCGATTGGCTTTTTTACTTTCACTGAATGTATCTTTAAAGTTACAAAATATTAATGTTTTCATGTTTTGATTGTCATCATTACAATCAAAACATGAAAACATTATTACAGATAAAAATAGCAGCAAATTAAATGTTCAAGACATTTATAAAAAAAAACTTTATCATCACTCTAGGTATAAATAATAACATATATTTATCAGCTTCAATGCAATCACAGCAGAATAAGGTAATTTATTTTACGCAACCAACCAATGTATATTTAACAGTAAACACAAGTATTCATCAAACAAAACCATTTTTCTGTCTAGTTGTTAAAAAAGTACCTAAATCAAAATAAGAAGTTCTTCCCTTTTCAGATGTAATCAGACAAACTTCAATATCCTTACTTGTTCAGACCAATCTCAATAGCTTTACCTGTTCTGATGTGATCAGCCCAATCCAATTATTCTTACCTGTTCAGCTGTCATTAGACCAAGCTCAACATTCTTACTTGTTCTGATATAGTAAGACAAATCTCAATATCCTTACCTGTTCATATGTGATCAGACCAATCTCGGTATCTTCTTTTTCAGTTATAATTGTAACATTTTGGCAAATATCTCCAAACAAAAGAGATACTTCTTTATGTGTGCGCCAGCTACACAATAGTAATAACTGTGATGTAATGCTCTGATTTTCACACTATCCACCTTCAAATCATAGTCTTCCTCATCTGTAGTGGTTATGTGAAGCTTATGTCCAAGAGCTCTTTGGATAGTTGATTTAAGTTCACCCACACTTTCTAAAGAAAAAAATATATGACTCAAAAGAAAAACAAATTTAATATTAGAAGTACATGTAATTACATCTATGCTATGCTCAAATTCATTTTTAGATGTGAATGTTTTAGTATATTTTATTTTTTCTTGATACTATTGGCTTATAAAAAAAGGTACACTCCACTTTGAGTAAGTTACTACCAGTAAGTGGTTTGAATGTTTTGGTTAACTATTCTTTGTACTTTGAAATGTAATAATGCTACCAGTGGTAATAATACAACACTACTCATGTTTTGCAGAAACAAAATAAGTACCAAATTTCTAGATCAAAATAATTTTAAGATGTGTAGGAAACTTAAAATAACTCTAGCAGGTTTGAAAGATATATATACAATAAATGCAAAGAAGATAACAATCACAATAAAAATTAAACAAAAAATGTAAATGCTTTTTGACATAGGTCACGTTTAGAGAAAATGAAGCACTAGCAAGAATGAACACAGAAAACCAACAAAGAAACAAACTATCATAAAATCATGCAATAGTCCCACAACTCAGGCAGAGTAATTTAAGCATATGAGGACAAAAGATGTGACTTTATACTCTGAATCACAAATTTTTTATAAAGTCTAAAAATCTGTATACTGGTGGAAGCAAGTGATGCATTTGGGTGAAAAATAAAGTTTTATATTGTAACATTTTGAAACATTGTCAATTACTGGCTTAGTTTGATCATTTAGTGTCCAAATGTTCAGAATATACCAACATAATATATACATGTCATCCTATAATTCTGGGGATTTTATAGTTGGCTGTTTGTTTATAACACTGATATTCAACAATCTGTCTTGTTATTTCAGTATTTTTGTCACAAATACTTTAAACTTCACTGTAATTACCATATCTGAACTCAAATTTTATTCTGTACATCCTGCTGTTCTTATAAACACAAAACTCTCATCTTAGCATTGTTTAAATAACTGTCAATAAACTATAAAGGTTAATAAAAGGTAAAACAGTCAATAGTGGCCTTAGTGTTAAACTTTCCAAAATAAAAGATCTGGTCCTACTTTAAAAATATCTTAGCATACTCAACCTTTAAAAATCTGCCATGCTCAAAGGAAAATTTCATAGCTTGTACAACTGGTCTGGACAACACTTTTTATTACAAAAATGTTGTATACTGGTTATCTTGCATGTTATATAATTTGAAATACCATTTTTTGACCACATAATGTAACATTCCAGAGATTCAAGAAACAAAAATAAATGCACCTTTTGGAAAATAATATGTCACACTATATAAGGATCAACAGGTACCCGAATTACTTTTTTAAACAACACATTTGCAAAAAACAAGAACTATTGCAATAAATAATGATATACCTGGCCTATTTGCAATATTGAGTGCAACAACAATTCACTTGTTATATGTTTTTATTATCCTCCTCTTTATCATTGTATTATTCTTATTTACACTGATGCATATATTTTTTTATATATGTAAAAGTACATGTAAGCTATGAATTTTAGTATGTGTACACAAGTGCTCCTTTTTAATGCTAAGCTACAGTATGTCATACTATCATTAAGATTGTTGTAGTATTGTTGTTGGATCTTCCTAACTTATAATTTAATCAAACATTTTCTATTATTCTGTATCAATTCACAATCAGTAGCTGCCAGATGTAACCAAGATTTTCATCTATTAAATGACATATTATATTATGTTGTTTCCTGAACAGAGAATTGTCAATTTCTCTTTCAGTACAAGCTTCATTCACACAGGAAACATATTGACTAGCTGGGGTGAATCTGTAATGGCTCTTGTAGCATACTTATAAAGCCAAAAATATTGTGATAGTTACAGGACATTGTCTGCTTTTTGCATGCTATTATTTTATGTTCTCTGGTGCATCATTTAATTAAATAAAAATTATTTAGTACATTAGTATAAAAAAGTAGGGTTAAGTGTCATCGTCTGTCGACAGCAAAACAAAGAAGACCAACGGAAGTACCTTATTTCTTGTTTTTCATGTATATTCTTTATTTATCATTATAAAAATAACTAAAATGTAAAAATAGGGATCTCTTCAGGTTAGACTAGGTAAAATAAATAATAATATAATAAAAATGTTTCATGAGGCATGCACACGATCAACACGGAGTAGCTCATGGGTAATGTAATTCGGTAGTGTAACGTTAGCTCCATGTTCTCCAAGTGATTTACAACTTAT